AGGATTAATTTTCAAAATTATGGTGGAACACATCAAGCTTCATAAACCTGAGAGAACATACAAAATAGGAGCATTCACTGTTATTATACATAAAAAGAGGCAATTTAGGGTAGCAGATGTGCTGATTTCTTCCTGAAAATTGGGCATTTGCTCTTGGGTTCATTAAAGTGTCTCAATTCCATTTACTGCCTTTCTTTTGTTTTGCTTTTCTAAATAAACTGATAGCGTCATTCTGAAAATCTGGAGTTATTCTGCATGCTTAATTAACCTAAATACATTCTGGGCTTTTTGTGCTAAAATAATTAAAATCCAGGACTTGACATGAATTAGAATGCTTCTGAAATGAATTACTGTTTTAATTTTGGAGGGGTGTGTGTGTTTGTGTGTGTGTGTGTGTGTGTGTTGTGTGTGTGTCTTCTCTAACACTTCACCTGCCAAAATAAGATATGAAAGTGATTGAATTAAGAGAATCATGATGATTCCAGCTCAGATACAGTAACGCCCAGATAAATAAGGTCCACACCTCATGTTGTGAACCAGGACAATCTGATGATAAATGAGCTACTGGAACAAACCATATATAGATGAGACAAGAGAACCTGCAGTTTAATAAATGCTAGAAACTCCTCACAATATATGGAAATTTCCATCCCAAGTCCAACACACTGAGATGGTATACCAGCTGGAAAGAGGGCAGGCAGAGTCTGGTGAATATCAAAGCCATTTGCCTGGGAAACTTGGCACCCAAAGCTGAGATGCTAAAAGAATGCCTGAGATAGCAGCAGATATGAGAGGAAGATCAAACAGAGGAAGTGCCATGGCAAGTGCATGGTATTTATAATAAAACGCTAGCTTAGTCGGCTGACATTGCGAAATCCTCCCAATTCAAAATGGGAGATTCCACAGAATGTTATAAAGAAGAACAAGGCTAAGGGCCTGTGGACTTACAGATCCAGGCAGGTCAAGATAACAATAACAATGACAATAACAACAACAATAATAACAATAAGTTGGAAGGGACCTTGGAGGTCATCTAGTCCAACCCCCTGCTCAGGCAGGAAACCCTATACTACTTCAAACAAATGGCTGTCCAGTCTCTTCTTAAAAACTTCCAGTGTTGGAGTATTCACAGCTTCTGGCCAATAAACCAGCCATTGTTACAGCACACAATGCACATTTTTCTTCTTCAACAGTTTGTTTGCATTTGAAGTAAATATCTGTGGGGGAGGTATAATTTATCAATATCACTACAGGCAGGTAAGGCATATTGCATTGTCATCAGTTTTCTTGTTATTTGACCCAAACTGCCAGTTCAGCTTGTCTACTTAATAATTCCAGCAGTGTACGGTATCAGAGAGGCATGCCACTTTGATGACATTTCCACTGTTCAGTTTTGTCTTTAGTAAAGAATACATCCAAAGAGTGAGAATATTTATTCATTTATTTGTTTGCTTATTTATTTATTTATCAAATTTAGAAACCTAAGTTTGGCACCCATTGTGCTGATAAACACTGGGACTACCACAGATATTTATGCCATATTATAAAGTAGACCATCAAAATGGAAGATAAGATATTTCCCCCCCCCCTCCTTTATTTTATCCTGTTTGAGTGATTTTCTTAAATAAGTTTCTTGGACCAGGCTCAAGCCCTGCTCATCTGACTATAGCCTTGGTTGCAGCTCTTCCTCCTGTGCTTCAAGTCTAAAATTAATTCTAGAATATTTCCTATTAAACTAGAGTTCAGGAAGCAAACTGAGAGAAAAAAAATTCATAGATCAATGAAAAAACCATGAGAAATTTACTCTTCCCATAATGATACTATGCAAACAATTCTTCAATGGCTGCCTATCACAGTGCAATCGTATGTTAGGTGGTTTAAAAAGAAGTTTTCTTATCTGAAGAAATTATCTATTGGATTGCAACCTTAAAGATGCTAAACTAAGATGTATTCAATAGCTACCAGAGAGACCGCTTCTAGGGGTGGTGATGTCCCAATTGTAAAATATTCATAATTATTTCAGAAGGATTCCTTCCTCCCTCCCTCCCTCCCTCCCTCCCTCCCTCCCTCCCTTCCTTCCTTCCTTCCTTCCTTCCTTCCTTCCTTCTATTCTTCCCAGATACAATTTAAAAATTCCAAGCTTAGCAAATGCAAGTTTTCTTCTTGTTCATTTTTTACAGCCCAATCTCATACTTGTCCACTTAGAAGTTAAGTGTCATTGTACCAAATAAGACTTAATCTTAGGTAAAAAATAAATAAATTCAGGCTTATTCACCTTTCATAAGCTTGTGAGTATTTGTGTTAGATTTTTGGAAAAGTAAAAAAAACAAATAATCTAATAAAATAAATATCTCTTATAATTAAGATTCTTAAGGTGATGCAGTGGCACTTCTTTTCCAACACTGTATTTATCTAGTGACAGAATCATACACATCCTTGATTTAGTGAAAACTAGTAGAGTAAAACATAATTTATTGAATCCAGCAAAGGCTTACCCAGCTACATAGGCTGACTGTGTTTCGTTATTTTTTTAAAAAAAATCTAGATTAAACAATCTTCTGGATACCTTTTCATTTGAAAGCATCCTGTACATGAAGAACTGACCCTGTTAAAAATAAAGGTTCACAAGAGGTGAAAGCAAATGTCTTGATGCTGTCCATTCAAAATTAGCCCCTGGGTAAGAAAATGCAAAAACTGGCTTCACCAGTTTTTCCCACTGTATCAAAATATACTATATGACCGTTTAAATGAGAGCCAGTGTGATCTAGTGTTTAAGACTCCAGCCTAGAAATAGTAGACCATGAATTCAAGTCCTGTCTCAGCCATGAAAACTAACTGGGTGACCTTGGGCCAGTCACTCTCTCTCAGCCCAATTCATCTCATGGGGTTGTTGTGAGGAAAATTGAAAGAGAAAGGTGTGTTAGATGATATTTTTACTGCCTTGAGTTATTTGTATAAATAATAAAGGCAAGATAAAAATAAATAAATGTCAACATTTCTACATTTTTATCTGCACATAGCAATTATGAATACATTGTTTGCATATCTATACCCTTGCTTATGGTGGTTACTTTTTCTTTATCAGGGAGCAAAATACAGTAAGCCATGTTAGATCTATTACCACAGGTACCTTGAAATCCAGCTACAGAAGAATTCAAACATACTTTCCTTTCTCATATTCATGTATATTTCCAAGCAAGCCAATACACACAGTTTTCTCATACCACATGTATTCTTTGTACTAGCTATAAATCATACATTTACATTTTGTCTAGAAGTGAGAATTGCTTTTTACAATATTATCCAATTGGAATAAGAATGTCTCTCCCTTCCACGACAGGAATAAGTTAAGAAAATTAATAATGGATTCCCATTCATAACATCTTCAAACTGAAGCAACTGCTTCAGCCTACCTGAGAGCAAAGCCTGGCTATCAGAGTCTACAGGGTGTGAAATGAATTGTTCAGACTGAGGAATTGATTTGAATTTTAATATTTCATTTCGTATGTCTCTCATGAACTGATGAGTGGAAAGATCTTCAGGCAAGAACTACAGTCCATAAAGTATCCCAAATCAGCCTGCATTGGTACTACTGATTGAGAAAATAAACAGCCCAATACAGCTCTTGGAACACCCTGTCATAAAATATACCACTCCCTTCAGGCTTTATAGTGAACAGAAATCTAAATACATAATTCATTTTTCTGAAAACAGTATTTTGGTCTTCAGGTAGCAATTTATTCCCTAAATCTTTCTGGGCACGGTATTGTAGTATCAGATTGGACCATGATATTTAGAATACAATCTATATACCCTTGAGTGCCAATTCAATTCTCTTCTGTTAAGGTCTGCTTAGCATATAATAAAAAAAAGTTTAAGAATATGAGTATTGTGAAAATGAGAAAAAAGAACTCTTCAGACACTTTTCAAGTATTTCAGCCTTGATCATTTCCATTTTTCTTGCCCTCTCTTTCCAACACAGCATTGAGCTGAATTCCAGAGGTTAGAATTCTAATTCTAATTCAGGGTTAGAAGCTGAGTCTGATAAAGATTGTGAGAACTCCCTGACAAAATATGACTGGAGCAGAGTAAGATGAAATTCAATATGATGTATTTTTAATCAAGTTTTTCAGGCATAGCTACCCCAAGCTTGAGAGCAAAAGCAGCTTGTGAGGAAGAAACAGCACCCAGAGCCTATCGTAATGAGATGGCTACTGATGTGTTGAATGCAGAAAGACAGCACTGCGAATGTGAAGCCAATGTAGGAATTATGGAATCTGCAATTCCAAAATGGATGAAGAGTGCCAAATTGGAGACGTTCCTAAGCTATCTGTGACAAATCATCCCCAAGCCATCTTCATTTACCTCCTTTCCCCCTTTATGACAAGAGGCAGCAACAGAAGTAGCTTTAGAGGGTCAAAGAGGCCAGGTGTCACCCACTCAATAGATGATTTGCCTGATTTAAGATTTCAGACAGTTCTGATTTAAGAACCTGTTGTAATGAATTAAAAATAATGTTGACATCAACTACAATTATTTTATTTTTCAAATTCTAGCACAGGAATGTACAATCTGAGGACCCCAAACCCCATGAATGCTTTGGCTTTGAGCTCAGAGCCCTTCTAAAGTTGTTGCACTAGGATTTCCTGTACTGTGTGTCCCAAGCTCAACAGCTGTGTAGTAGTTCTGGGGCTGGAAGGAAGAGTTGACATTTATTGTTGGATTGGTGTTTGCGTTGGCTCTGTGCATCAGTGCTGAAGGTGTGGCTTTGCAAAGAGTCTTCCTTGCTTATGATCTGAGAGCAGCTCTGCTTTTAGATATCCTTCTTCCACTCTCTTCTGCTATCCTGCTTATATCTGACTCCTCCCTCCTGCAGCTATGAATTGTGCAGACTGAACCAAAGAGCTTCTGGTGGTTCTTTTCCTCCCTCCCCTTTGCTATAGTTTCTCCTAAGCCGGCAGTGTGAGACTGATATTCTGCTTGCTTTCCCTTACAGCACATTTTTGACATCGGCTTTTTACTTTAAGGCTAAACTTGATCACTTCTGAGGATTATAAAGGACTGACAAAGAACTGAGGAAAGGAGAAATTATTGTGGTTTATTTTCTTGGCTGGAATTTTTTGCTCCTTGGGACTTAACATTAATGCTTCTTTTAACAGTGTGAGCTGGGCATTACTTGGGAGTATCCTAAGCAGGCATTCAGAAAGGAGAAAAAATCTTTACAGTCCAGGAATAAACTTGATAGAGAAGACAAGGAATCTATGGTGGAGCTAACAATGTTTTCATCGGATGACAACTCAAAGAATCTGTGAGAAGGTAAAGTAACATCAACCCCAGCTATCCCAACCATCTTGGAAACAATGTCAGTCACCCATACTAATGTTTCATTAAATGGGACAAGCTCCCCAAACCAGGGAATGATGGATATACCCAAAGACCAAAAATCTTTGAATCTTTTAATTTTTTGCTTGACTTTTATCATCACATTCCTAACCCTGCTGGGTAGCATCTATTCATTAGTTTCCCTACTGAGAATGCAGAACAAAAGTACTGTTTCAATGCTTGCAACTTCGCTAAGTGTGGATGATCTGATTAGTGTGGTACCAGCAACAATTTTTATGCTCAAGCCTTGGTTGAATGAAATGCTTCCCCAGACTGTGTGTACCACTTCAGCGCTCCTGTACTTATTTCAGGGCTTTTCCAGCAACTTGATGGGGTCCCTTGTAGTTTCCTATAACTTCTACAGCCTCAACAAAATGGGAGAGAGCCAAGAGGCCACCAAGAGGCCAGGGAGCATGTTATGGGCTGTTTTTGCTATCTGGATTGTCTGTCTGCTGATTTGTATTTTGCCTTTATGTGGCTGGGGCACCTATGCTCCCACCTCCTGGGGATGCTTTGCTGACTGTTCCAGTTCATATATCTTGTTTCTCTTTATAATCTACTCATTGTGTTTCTGTCTCCTAATTATACTCTCCATTCCTCTTATTTATCAATTACTGTGTTCAAATGAGCAGCAGCATTTTTATGATGATTATCATCAAGTCACTGGAGACCATTTTTCTTCTGGGGTACTTCCATTTGAGAGTCACAAATCTTCTCTCCCTACAGAAGACACTATGAATAAAACCCTGAAGCACTGTCAGAACTCTGACCCAGTTATCAGACAAAGTCCAGCTGACCACTGTCACTTGGACCACTATGGCACACAAAATGTGCCACCTAACAACCGGAACAGCACTGTGGAATTTGCTCAGAAACGCTTCTCGCTAATTCTGGCTCTGACCAAAATCATTCTTTGGCTCCCAATGATGGTAAAAAAAAAAACCTTGCCCAAGTTTCTTTTCCTTATATCTAAGGGTTTAGTTAAGCAGTATCTAATGATATTTGGAAGTGGGGAGCAGCAGAAGAGAGTAAATTAAGCTACGACTTATATCCAACTTGAAAACTTGCATCTTGTGTTTAAAACATTGGCTAATCAAGAATTTTTTTAAAAAAAATAGTTACTGTGTCATTTGCTTTGCATTTTTGTATTCTGTTGGACTATCAGTTTGGCTGCTATTTAAAGTATTCTTTGTCTATTCAAACAGTTGGGTACATTATTTTAGTTTCAATTGAATGTATTGTATATTTCTAATAGTGGTTTATTTAATGATCAGGAACTCAAAATGCACATATATTAGTGTATTTTTAAGAAAAGAGTAAGATTTTAATTAGTTTTCAGATGAGTGAGATTTGTTTTGCCAAATGTGAAAATGGTTTGTAATAGTCAGATACAAGAAAAACTACAGACGACTTTATGGCTCTAATTTTATGTTAGCATAAGTGTTCTACAAATACATCTTGTTAAATGATTCTAAGGGGGGGGGGGAAACTAGATGGAATAGGCCAAGCTCTTATGCTTCGTGCAGTTCAGTTGGCATTAGGTTATCTGTTTTGGCATCTGCCAAAAATTCCTTGCTTTGTTTATTAGCTGCAAGGCACACTTTTTAGTGGTGAATTGCCTATAGCTCTGTAATTCAGAAGTATTCACAAATCACTGGAAGAATTTCATTATTTTCTATTTCCTTTAAAAAGAAAAAGAATTATTGAGAACTGCTTTGATGTTTGTGGTAGTAGACTGAAGATAGGGCAATCTGGGGTTGGGGTTTGGGGGGGGGTCATGTATCTCTTACACCCTATTCAGTGCCCTATTGCATTTGTGAATCCCATTTTTGCCTGGCACATAGGAGCAATAATTTGAAATCTGTTATTTTTTCAGAGCCCTTTTCTAATCCCACATTAACTGATAAACTTTATTTTTTACCATCAATTTGGTTTAAGATTAAAGACCTTGTATACTCTTTCCTGGAAATAAGCCCTATTAGACACTGAAGAATTTATTTCAGAAGAAACACATATTTGCCATTCCAGTAGTCAGAGCTGCGTTCACTCACATTCTTCCCTTGCAATCTCCTCCAGCAGTCCTCCCTTTGCCCTTACTGATGAGATTTAAATTGTAAGATCCATGGGGCAAGGACTTGCTTCTTTATTTATGAAGCTATGTATAATGAAAGCACTGTGCAAATCATCTATCCATATGAGTTTCTCAAGGATGCCTCTCCACCTCCCTATAATAATTCAAATGGCCCTTTATTAATAGCTCAGGGTTGAAGCTACTTCTCTGCTACAGAACAGGCATCAATATTTATTGTTTCACTTGAAGCAACTGGCATTTCTGAGAGACACAGATGGGACTTGTGTTAGAACAGTTCCTTTTTGACATCTGTCAAGATTCAAAGACATGCGAAGCACAGTTGAGACAAATTCCAGGAGAACAGGAATGTTTATCTGGTGTATTTCAGAGAGCAAATGGCGTTGGATGTCTTTTGATAGGCAACAGAGACTGCTTGTTGTGGCGTGCATTGTTTTACAATGGCCCTGTAAATATATCTTCAGCCAAATATCTCTACAAGCTATGGAATGAACTTAAGGGTTCACCTTCGTGCCCAGGACCTAATGGACTATGGGCCATGCAAATCTGAGTCTTAGCCTTACCAAGAGCAGAGAAAGGATAAGTGTGCTCATAAATATGTTTGGCGAGTGCGAGGATACTGTGTGTGCAATTTTTGTTTTGGCTACTTTGGGCTTTGGTTTTGTCTGCCTTATTATGTGGATTCCCACGTAAATGAGGTTGTTGAGAGGAATAGGCTCACTTGTATTACTTGTATAGGATTGCAACATATGGCAAACCTGCTTTGCAATGCTAAATAAAAGCTCTACTGAACTCAGTGGCATTTATTTGTGAATAGCAGGTTTAGAAAAATTTTGTACACCTATCTGGATCATGTCTTTGTTTTCTAAGATGCCAATATTCATGTCTGGGGAAGCCTATATAGCAAGGATTTAGAAGAGGGAGTATAATATGTGATCGCTTCTAATTCAAGTCAACTGTCTGTTGCTTAATTTCTCTGGAATACCTCTCTCTTTCAGATACAAATGGTTGTTCAATACACTGTTGGGTTTCAAAATCTTTCCTTTGAGATATTCAGCTTCCTGCTAACTTTGCTAGCTGTCACTGTCACTCCGATGTTTATCTTGTCAGAGCACTGGAGTCACCTGCCTTGTGGCTGCATTATCAATTGTAGAAAGAGCATCTATGCAGTGTCATCAGAGGAAAACAAGGGTAAGTATGAAGGACGGGGAAAGAGGTTACATTGCCTCTTCTGAAGGGACACTATCATGTCTTTCTGTAACATAGTGCAGATCCAAGGGGATGTAAAATCTGTAGTTTTATATTGTTTTAACATTTTTCATTAGAACACTTCCTTGAGACCTGAACTGATTTATTTTAAAATGTAGACTCCAATGTGATATTGAAAGAGCAATGTGGTCTCTGGCTGACAGAGGTTCAGCATCCGTTACATAAAATAAGGACAAATAAGAAAAAAAAATGCTATGGTTTTGCAGTCTTTTTTCATCAAAGTTAATGGCAGTTCACATGGTGGATTTTTTTATCTCCATGTTTCATAAACAGCCAAAGTTTCAAATTGCCTGTGCAGGCAACCCATATACAGTACATTCCAGGGACTATGAAGCACAATTTTATTCACAATTCATGCCCAAAGCAAAATGGATCTTAAGAGAGAGAGGTGGTTTTTTTTCTGTCCAAAAAGATGCATCCTCTGGATCTTCTAGAGCCTGCTTCCATGTTTGCTTTATGTCAAGAAACCATGTGTACACCTTCGGCATATTTCTGGCTTTGATCAAATATTTGCAGAAAGAAATTTATAGCAGATGGCGATTGAACAATTACCTAACATTTTAAAACCAAACTTTCTCTCATTTTGTTTATGCTAAAGGTTATTTCTCTCCTCTGCCCCAAAATAAAATATTTACCCTATCCTTATGGCCTCATGCAGAATTTAATAGTTAAAAGTACAATCACAAAATCTAAACCAATATTCCATTGCTTTAATATCTTTTATTTTTATGACTACTTTTGATGGCAACTGCAGCTTGCTTTTATTTCTAAAGTATTCTGTTACAAAAGATAGGAGTAGCAAGCAACAATTGGAATAGGCAACCTGGTGCCCTTTAGAAGTTCAGAAATCCAATTCCAATCAGATGCAGTTAAAGTGGCCAATGAGAAGAGATTGTCAGGATTGTTGCTGGAAACATCTGGGGACACAAGGATCCCCACCACTGATTTAAGCCTGGATTCCAGAATCAAAGCACAGATAGCCCACAACGTACGACCACAATTGAGCCCAAAATTTCTGTTGCTAAATGAGACATTTGTTTGCCCCATTTTACGACCTTTTTGTGACAATTGTTAAGTGAATCGCTGCAGTTGTTAAGATAGTAATATGGTTGTTGAGCGAGTGTGGCTTCCCCATTGACTTTGCTTGCCAGATGGTTACCAAAGGTGATCACATGACCTCTTGACACTGCAACCATAATAAGTCAGTTGCAAGTTTTCTGAATTTTCATCACGTGACCATGGGGATGCCATAAGTCACTCAGTAACTTTGAACAGTCACTGAGGGAACTGTGGTAAATCGAGGACTACCTGTAATTAACCAGCTTATTTGCAGAAATGGTAGATTTGGAATTCTGAGAACGTACAACGAAAGCTCTCACAAGATGGCTGTTAAGATAGTTATATACATAAAACATCAATTCCAGTGGTGGGATTCAGCCATTTTGCACCACTTCGGCAGAACCGGTAACTAATTTTTTATTGCCCAGGCCCAGAATGGACTTCTGGAAGCGGCATCCACACAGAGAACTGGTTGTTCACATATTTGAATCCCACCACTGATCTATTCCCTTCTATTTATTTGGAGCACCCTACAATTCCCTATTTCATTGGCCTTTTCTTTTTTGGGGTAGATGGATACAGCTCCAGGTTGCAGCTCCTTGTCATTTTGATTCTTTAAGAACACCTACTGTGTGTGATCTATTTAACCGTGGAGATATTCTTATGAATACAAATAATGTTAGAGGCTGACACGTAAGCAGCTTACTGTCTTCCCTGTTGAAGTCCTTAAATATTATTGTGTGTGTATGTGTGTTTTCAAGTCAGTGTTGAAGATATCCCTGCATTTTTCTTAGCAACATTTTGCGAGTGGTTTGCCACTGGCTGCTACCCAGAGCTGAGAGAAACTGACTGGCCCAAGCTCATCAGTTGACTTTGTATCTAAGGTGGGACTAGAACTCATGTTTCCCTGATTTCTAGCCTGATGCCTTGACCACTACACCAACCTTATTACTTAATATTTTAAGCCGCTGAATTGAACAGAATTTTTATGAATTCCTGATCAGAAAGCTTTCAGGACTAAGCTGTTGCAGGACTGAGATATTATTTCCTTATTTTGCATAGGGCAGGAAAATAAACTAATACTGTTATTAGTAATAATTGCATAGGTCCCAGTTTCATATCAAAAACTATGCAGATGAAACTATTCAATCTAGCTCTGGGACTTAAGCATAGAGGGTGATTGAACCACAGTTTATTCTGAAGGGATGTTTTTATGCACATTGTTCTTCCTGAATCACTACGTAAAACAAATATTAAGAATTAAAGTCAGTTGGACAGAAAAAATGTAGCAGATGTTGAATTCCAAGTCAATTGCACACCAAACAAAATCAGAATAAAAAGACTTAAATTGGAGACATTCAGTTAGATGATTAACATATTAGTTAAGTACCGGTAAGTCATTCTGATTCCTGACAACTGCATGGACAAATGTTTAACATCGTGAAGCTCTTCCCAAAGAAACCTGTAATTTCTTTAATTTCATGTATTTACTTTATTATTTTTCTTCCCATTTTTCTAGTTCTCCCATATTTCTAAACATAGGCGACATAGATCTAGTCCATCATCCAATGATGAGACAAAAACAATACACTGAAATGATGGGAAGTATAGGTTTATTATAACAATGTAACTAAAAGATTCTTCATACCTGCCCAGGCCCTGTTTGAACCTCCATATGGAGGTAACACCTCACAATTTGGCAAGCCCATGTTCCCTGAAATTAGGCAGCCAATAAATTTCAACATCTGACTGACTGTGACAAACCATAATATTGTATGCTTATAAAAAAAGAAATCTATTCTTATCCGAATCATGACTGGAATCCTCAGAGCAATACCAAATGAACTCTCTCAATATTTGGAATTTTTTAATTTATTTGATGTGAACACCTTAATTTTACAAAACAAAAATAAAACACATCTTGTACCTATATCTTTAGGCACTATCTTAAAAAAAAATTAGGTCCTTGGTTGGGACTTGAATTATTAAGTTAACACCAGTTTTAGACTGTGACTCTAATTGTAGATTACTAGTAATAATAATATCTGTGGCTTGTGAGCACATCTGACATTTTCAAAGCCTAAAAAGCAGAGGCTTTCAATTGAAAAACTCAATAAATGGAATTATCAGTAGCTTTCTTAAGCTGCATTGATTTAATGCAGTCCCTATAGGCTAACGGGCCTGATTTAAAGGGAAGAAAATTAATTTTAGTCAAAAGTTGACAAGTAAAAGCCAAGCTCTAGCTTCTACAGAAACTAAATCTATCTCCAAACATAAAATGGTATTCTTAATTCATTTTTGGGACAGCAAGGATCGAGGAGTTCTTCTTAAAATCCACGATCCTCTTAGTAATAATTTTCAGATGTGTAATTTGATGGCAATTGTCTTCTTTCTCTCTCTTTTTCAAAAGTAGCTTTCACAGCTATGTATTGCCACTGGAAAGAGTATACTTGCAATTGTTCTGATCTTTGCTGTCATAGAACTATCCTCATCCTTCATGACAATATATCTGCCTTCCTCATTAGAATTAATCTTCTTTTTGTTCTACAGCAACTGACCGTGTTTCATTGTGAGAGTTGTCTCACTGTCTGCTGACAATATTCTCACATCTTAAGTTATTATCTGGAATCAAAACAGGAGAATAGCTAATCTTTCCATACATTTACTAAGACACTAACCCTCTATTGGACAGGAACAATCAGTCTCATTCTTGTCTCATTCTTTTTCCTATCAAAACCATTATTTTTCTCCAAATTTGGTTTATGCAACACCTTCTTGTTCACTGTAAAGATTCCTCAGAAGAATGATCAGAGACAAAAAGAATAATCCAACTTGTCTTATTTGTAGAAATCTGTGTAAATATCTTCTTTGTAAAATATGAACTTGAATTTTGCTTGCATAAGGAATTAATCAGCTAGGTCAGTATTGGTATATTCACCAATATTTTATAATCTTTAGGCTATAAAATCTTGTTTTATATTTATTGACAGAGAACTGTTTGCATAGTAACTACTTCTTCTCCTGCAACTTTAATCAGTGCAAATATGTATGAACTTGCTCCACTGTTTTCTTATATCACACCTGGTTTACTTTCTATCATACCATATTCTAAAAAGGCATTCTATAATTCAGTAATTCCATTTATTTTCATATTCCTTCGACCACATTTGATTTTATTAGATCTCTTTTGTGATTAGATCTGAGTATTCCGATCTAGATATTATTTTCCCTTGAATTTTTGTAATTTTGTTTTAACATTTCTCTTTTTTTCCCCATGTTCTTTTACCTTTAAGCCAAATATTTATAGTATCTTCCTCAATTTCTTTCTGAAACTGTCTTGGCTGCCTGGATTGCATTGGACTGCATTTCTCCATCTTCTTTTTTCTAATTATAGTGTTGTTTGATTCTGCTATTGTACATCCAGTAATGCCCATGTACTATATACTTATAATCTGCATTTATGTTGCTTGAAAAATAAATAAATATTTTTTCATGTGTTTATTTATTAACACATTCCCTCCATTATTTCCTTTCTTCAAATCTTCCTATGGTTTCATTTTCCATTTCTCCAACATTTGTATGGCAATCATCCTTTATAGTACTACTTTAGTACTTTTGCAATTTGCCAACATCTTCCCTATGTAATGGGGACAAACACTTGTTGGGTATACTCTAAATCTGATAGATATGACCCTATCATTTATTGAGTCATAACCAAGCACTTAGAGGTGCTTGTTTTTAGTATTATTGTTACTCAATTTCTTTATACTGTTTTGACTTGTTCCTGAATATAGTATGCAATTATATGATTTAAAGTAGCTCATTCCAGACCACCTATGTTTAAATATTCTTAAAGTATTCAGTTTAATAGACTTCATTTCCATTTAATAAATTCAAGTTGCATTTGCTGCAAGCCATTCCATATTATAACATCATGTGTTTTTGAAATATGAGAAAATCATCTTGATATCATCTAGTCTTGATATCTAGACTATGAAAGCTCACTGTTCTTCCTCAGTAACCAGAAAAGTATTTTCCATACTAGGACTCTCAACACCTGGCAAACAAACTCATCCTAATATTTTAACCAAGCTTATATTATTTTCTTGGTAAAAGTACAAAGTGGTTTGCTATTGCTTTTTTTCAGATTTAATTTTGGATTGCCACTGAAATAAAACTATATCCAAGCCCTGCAAACAAGTTGAAGGGTGAAGCACTAAACCATCAAAATAATATGCAGAAAATTGTAACACTATAGGATAGGGTAGAATAGGATAGGATAGTGAATTATATAATATATTGTAGCAAAAGTATAGTAATAGTATATATTGTACAAATGTATAGCAATATTTTTTCAGGGTATTATTAATGCTAGATCCAAGTCAAATTAGAATTTATTTTTATATTATTTCTGTTACAATACACTCATTTAATTTACTTCTAGTGTAAATTTCATAGACTTTCAAAGAGTATACAGTTCCTAATAGAACCAACATAAAAACTGTTTTCTAATAGCTGGGAATAACTGTGCTCTTGTTCTAAGAAATGTTTATTTCACATTCCAAGTGTTATGATATGCCTATCTTCAAGTCATAAATAAATATATACAGTAAATGTGCAAAATAGATTTAGTACAATTTTAAATACACTTACTAGAATAAAACTCATTGAGTTCACTTAATCACTGTATGACTGATTTCCCTCTGGGCATCCACTGCACATGATCAAATGAAGGACAGCTTTTTTTGGATGATTGCCCAGTTGCCACACTGTCTGGAAGATAATGACTTCCTGCTGCTTTTCTTATTTTTTGTAAGCATTAAAATATATCTGTTGGCCTGGTCAACATTTCTGCTAGAAGGGAGTTGGAGAAGGCTCACCCACTCCAACCTATGTCTTCCTCTATTTAATCTCTCTATGAGGCTGCAAGGGAATGAAAAGCAAAGAGAAAGTAAGACAGAGTTCCTTAGAGCAATCACCTTAGAACTTTTATCTTTTTGCCAACAGTGAAATATAAGGTCAACCTTTTGTTAACCTTTGTTCCAGTTTGCACAGTGAGGAACCTTAGTCTGTTTACAGCTAAAACTAATTTCCTCTAGTGCCTGGTACTAATTAGATTATGGTGTTTATACAATGTACTGACCTACTTCCTGACCCAGTAAAGAATGTTGTACAAATCCACCTAGTCTTCAACTATTTTCTATTTTGTCATTTAATGTTTTGAAACATTGCTTTAAAATATATGTTTTGATAAAATGCACTGCTAACCCAATTATCAAAATACTATGTACTTTAAAAAAAAAAACAACACTATTAACTGTCCTGCTGGTTTCTAGCTGTTTTAATGCAATGATTTACTTTCTTTCTTCAGCCAAAAGAAGAGGCTTTGAATTCAATTTGTCCTTTCAACAAGGTTATGGAATCTATAAGATATCCCATGACAACCGCCACAGTGATGGTAGCAATTCAATATCCTACCACAGCTTGCTCAACTGCGATTGTGAGAACACAAAAGAAACTCAAAAAGACAGCAGCAAAATGGAGTTCAGCACCATTTCCGTAGTGGACAGCTCCACGTGTAAAAATGTTGCTGGTTGCAAAAACCTTGACAGCACAGACACCAGGAAAGACTTAAGCAGGGATAAATTCATAGACAGTCTACTTTCTGAAAAAATGACATATAAAAAAGAAGAGATCCGGAATATTGAAAAAGGAACTTTTTTTGAAGGACCAGAAAGAAGGTTGTCTCATGAGGAGGGCCGGAAACCAGAACTCTCTGACTGGGAGTGGTGCAGAAGTAAGTCGGAAAGGACCCCTCGACAGGTAGCGTGTAATTTAGTACTGAAATTTTTTATGTCCAAGGTTCATAACTTGATGCCTCTTTCAAACCTTTGAATGTTGAAAACTTTCCACTAAAGTACAATTTTTAAAATGAAACAAAGGGAGGATAGGATTAGGTGTATGGGGAGTAATTATACAATTATATTTACTTAATTTCATACAGCTCAAATGTAGACAAATCAAATTTAGTTATTGTCCTTGACCCGCTACTTCTTTGTCCTGGCCCTGCCTACTTTGGGAAGTAGGTAATTCAAAAGGAAAGTGTGATTGGCAGCAAAAAGTTGCACATGCTCATTTGTTTGTGACTGTAACAAGTGCTAAGCATTTCAGTGTCGCTGGTTCTAAGTTTTCTAAGTGATAAGTCACCTTGCTACTCAGGTTTGTAAAAAAAAACATAGCCATATTCTACATTACAATTCAATCAAGGCAATATATTTAGCATAGTAGAATGCATTCCAATGAATTTCACTGGAAAGTAGTAAATTGGAGATACTTTAGTTTAGCTATGTCTATAATTTATTTTGGCAGTTAAGATGTAGATTGGGAGAGTAGTTATATATGAATTATTACTGATTTCATTCAAAAATATAAGTATAATTCAAAGAAGGCATGATTCAATTTGAATGTGTGATTTAAGGCGGCAAATATTTAATTTATGCAGCTTCAAGTTTCTTCACATTCTGAAAAAAATAAATAATTTCAGAGTATAAAGGAGAAAAAAACACTGCAGCTGCTTCATTTTTTTTTTAAAAAAAGATAATAATACAAAAATACCAGGAATGGTAGATCTTTTACAGCACACCCTCTCTGCTGAGTTTGGACTGAATACTTTCCCTTCAATGATTTTTAAAAAGATATTTCCTTTGTACCCCTTTTAAGACAGATGTAGTGTGGATAAGGAAACTTAGCTTCCATGTATTCTAATGAGAAACTGTAGAGAGGTTAAAAACCTGTAGAGAAGCTATGTTGAACCAATCAGAAGGTGACTCAGATTTAAAAATAAAATTTTTCCAAACATTAATTCAAAAATATGTCCCTCCTTTCAATTTCCACTTTTATTTTCAATTGGAAAAGAGTTCAGTAAGCTTAGCAGGACTCTCAAGAGTTCCCATTAATTTGCTCTAAGAGTATGGCTTTGCTACTTCTTGAGAATGAGAAGACAGGTTTGTATAGTAGATCAGCAAACTTAGCCACTCATAAAAAAACTTTGCTGGGTACCAGGGTGGGTAGATATATTAGTGAAGCGTGGCCCATTCTGAGCAAGATTTGGTTGAAGGTCTGGCAATATGACTTAAGTAATAGAGGTACCAGAAACAAAGCTCACATAGAAAAGGCTGGCATAGACAAAGTGACATTTGTAGGGTTGATCTTCACCTTGACTCCCTCCTCCATTTTAAAAGTAGTAGACACTTGGACTAATGCCAAGAAATGTTAGCCTATACCTGATACATGATCCTGTCCAAATTCATTTTTGAGCCAAGAGCATGTACCTTATAAATCAGGGGTTCCCAACTGGGGGATGCGATATGACATTCCAGGCAGTGCAAAAACTTGGGTTTAGAAATTTCAAAGTTATAGTGTATATGCATAATTTGTTGCCATTATTTCAAACTTTTGTAAGGGGTGCAAGAATATATCAGAAAAGTTCTAGGGGTGTGGGGTATAGAAAAGGTTGGGAACCACTGTTATAAATTTTCAGCTCATAGTCCAAGTGGCTGGAACTTTCTTTTTAATTAATTTCCAGTTTAAATTAAAACAATTTTAATATTTGACTTGACCCCATGCACTACTCAATCCCAGCTCTATTTCTACACTCTAAGGTGTAAAAATACACTTTTTTTAAAAAAAAAGTACTTTCCTGCTATGGAGAAAAAAAATAAAACAGTCTTTAAAGCAAGCAATAATGATCCACAAGATAAGTTGTAGACCATGCGTGTCCAACCTTTTGGATTGTCTAGGCCATATTGACTGGGAAAAAAGTGCCTAGGGTCACATATAAAATATATAATACAATTAATGTATATAAATAACAAACTTCCTTATTTTTTTATAAATCTTTTGGAATTGCATTACTAACTCTCCAGGGACACATGTGGACTATGGCTACAGATTGGATACATTTTTTGTAGACTGTTGATTGGAAAAATAGGTAGAGTGGCAGAACAGAACAAGTTGAACAAGATTATCCCAAATAGTGCATTTCTTTCAGTTTCCATTTCTTTAACATGTATTATGTCAACAATTTTTTTAATTGGGGATATACTAAAACACTAGTTTTAAAAACTGCATTATCCACTAAATCATTCCAGCCCCAGGTTCAGAAGAAATTATTTTGGTTTATATGGTTGGACACTGTTCCATAATTTAAACTAAAAATGTGATGGTTCAGTCTCATCCATTTGACAATAATTGTCTTGAAAAGGCTGACCTTTATTTGATTTTCATTATGATACTCAAATGCAGTTATGTTCTGAGTACCTTTGAGCGACTTTGTCTCATTGCATGACTGTTCAAATATTTTGGCAGTCTTATAAAATATTGACAACTATTAGAAGCCAGTTTTTCAGCTTTTGTCTATAATGGAAAGACCATTGTGTAATCCCTTGAAAATTTTCTGAAATCTTATCCATATCTATTCAGAGCCATCCCGAAATATTTTTTCACTATCCAAATGAACAAATGCTATTGTCTCTTTAGCTGAGATTGAACAGGCTATTAAGGCATGGCTTACATACTACTGTGACAAAACCTTGCTTGTGCATTTGAGTGAATACATGTTCATTATGTTTTAGTATGTTATGTGATATGTGTTAAGACTTAACTTTGTCTTAGTCTAGTATCTTATGGAAACATGGACATTGTGGTTTGTTAACCATACTTTACAAATTAGTATTTTCTGTGAGTACAGTTTTACATGCTTATGATAGTTTTTGTTGTTCAAATTTGCATTACTCCACTTAAAAAATTACACTTCTGAGGTTTCTTCTTCTGTCCGACTTTGGATTCCTTATTTTATAAATTCTAAAAGCAAACTGCAAAGCTGAACATTTGAAACCATCTGTTCCTAGAAGGAAAACTGAGTGTATTAAGAAATTTTTTCAAGTGAGCAAGCTCCAAATTCATACAGTAAGCGAAAAAGCAGGACAGGAAAAAAAAGCAAAAGTATCATTATCCCACCACTCCCCAAAAGACAAAATTGGCTTGCAGAACTGTCTCACTGAAATGAAACTAAAATAAACACTTATAGAAGAGAATGAGAATCAACACGCACAAAAACATGGCAATAGCACTTAGACCTATATACTGCATCATAGTGCTTTACATGACTACAACCTCTCAAAGCAGTTTACAGAGTCATCCTATTGCCCTCCAACAATCTGGGTCCTCATTTTACTGACCTCAGAAGGCCGAGTCAACCTTGAACCAGTGAGGATTGAACTCCTAGCAGTCAGCAGAATTAGCCTGCAATACTGCGTTCTAACCACTGCACCACCATATAACTAGAAACATCCCTTCTACCTCTATGCCCACCATGCAGAGTAGGCTATGTAGTCAGGATAAATACCAGGTGGCAATCACATCACCATTAAGAAGACCAGAAATAGTCCCAGTTATCAGTTGAACCAACCGCAGTCACCTTCTATGACCTTCAAACCTGACATCTTATGAAACTCATTATCCTATAATGTAATCAGAAAGCTAGATCTGCAAGTGTGAGATATATAAGAACAAGGTAATGACATATTCTTTCCCAAGCAACAGCCCCCCCTCATTGGCACAATCACCTTTGTTTGCTTCACTGGATAAACATGGCTTCTGTGCAGCTGTAGTTGAGAAGGGCATTTCATACAAAGAAGAAACCATTCCACTTGAACTGATGTACCAAGGATACAGAAATGAATTTTTTTTCAGATAGATAAAAATATGGGACTATGGATTTATTTAAATATTGAAAATAGTAAATTTTGTTTTTTCATGATAAAGAATAAACACTAGAGCTCACCATACTGAGTAAAAATATTATATGAAATGCACTCAGTAACTTCAGGGATATATTTGCTATTAAAAATTAATGATGAATAACTAAAAACCAAATTCCTTTTGGAAACAGACATTGAGTTCACTCTTCTACCTAAGGAAAACAAAAGGAACGTCTTTTGTTTTAAAACCAATTTAAAACCACTCAGAATTAAAAACAACAAAAATAACATAAAAATAACAGCTGAGAAAATTCACAAACACTCAGACAAGGCATGATACCCATGTTGTTGGTTTTTTGTTTTTGTTTTTTATTTTTGTTTTTTATTTTATTTATTTCAAGATCACATCACCTGCCACAATGTGTTTTGTTGCATAGTTATAGCCTTTTCATTTAAAAGCACAATTCTATGCAAATTTTCTTAGAATAAATTTGTACTTAAACCCATGTTGCTATAAATATTACTACCTAAGTAACTTTTTGGATTCTGATATAAAAATGTCCTTGAAAACAATAGTTTCTACCAATTCTAACAGCTAAAGTTCATTAAAACAATGTGTCATAACCATAGTCCCAAACATGTTACTTGATTGCCTATCTGGAACAGAGAGACTGTGATTCAGTATAAGCCAACTTCGTATGAATAATTAAAAATCAAATTGGGGCTTCATGTTGTCATTTCTTTGCCCTCCCCTGCCTGCTGTATTAAAGGTTGGTTCTATTGCAGTACATTTCTTATATAAAAGCTATGGGATTTATGCACCATTGTATATATGTCACATAAGTACTCATGTAATATCTTTAATTTATGTATTTAAAAGGTTTATATAGTTGCCCACCCTAACTCTGGGCAACCATATAAACCTTTTAAATACATAAATTTAAACAACAACAGTAAAAGCAAATAACTATAAAATATGACCATAAATCCATAAAACAAAACAACTAGCTGAATTAGATCCAGAAGCCAACTGACAACCAATGTGATTCCTTCAATACCCAA